TTATGGTGAGATTTTTTGTAATATAAGTATAAGCAAAGTTTCCTTCGACATTTTTTTTTGCTCAAAAAGAAGTTTGAAGCAAACTACATCAATGTGCATATCTTTTACTTCCAAATGCTCATTAGAATTGGATGGTGAAGAAGCTACAGAATAATTGGTGTATATGTATGACATAATTGAAGAACATTTATCTTGTCATTATAGAAATAAATGGTTATTATACTTTATAGCTTGACTAATGGCTTCATTGAGTGTTTGAGGATCTAATATAGACAACAATAAGTCCTCGACATTATCTCTTAATTTTCAATGAAATTGGCTCATCAATGCATCTTCTCTCCAATTTATATCACATCTGAATTATTAGAAATTTCAGGCATATGTTGATACAGAATGCATTTCTTGTCAAAGGCTTTGAATTTTAGTTGTTGAAGAATGAACCTTATCATGTTCACCAAATGCTACCAAAAATACTTCAAAATTATGCAATATATGGATTTTTTTTTTAAATAATAGAAAAAATTAAGATAAAGCTTGATTTGAGAATAAGGTTCTAACCAAACCAATATGAGATACTTCAATAGAATATCATTGAGGTTGAATCAACATGATTAGTCATATTTGATTTACAAAGCTATAAAATTTTGAACAGGTGCCATCAAAATTTTTTTGGAAGGTTGATCATTGATTCTTTTGGTGTTATTGTTATTAGATCATTGCCTTGAGTGGATGCACCTCCCATGTTTGAAGCAGACAGTCATTTGAAAATTTGGAACCTCTATTGTGATTTGATGTAGTAGTTGAGGCACTTTGGCTCCTTGACCATTATGTATGATCATATATAGTTCTTCATTTTGCTTTGACAAAGTCTCTGCCCTTATCTTCAATGCTTCAAGAACATTAATAATAGAATCTAACTTGATCTCTTTAGAGTCTGTCATATTGACTTTTCCACCTTCTACTATAAAAAATCAATGAAATATATACATTCAAAGGGAAAAAAAACCTAATCTATGGTATTAAAAAAAATCAAAAGAATATTAAAAAAAGAATAATATTAGTTTAGATGAGGATAATTCACAACCTTTAGAATGTTATAATATTTCTCGGAAGAGAGGTAATTCATCTTCTATCAAAAAAGACCAAGTTCTTAATATTATTTTATGGCAGTCTCAACAAACTGTTAGGGACCATATATATAAGACAATGATTCAAGATCAAGAAATGGAGTTAACTTGACATTAGAACAACAACTAGATACAATGTAAGAAGGTCCTATCTAGACCACAAGAAGTGAGTTATCAAGACTGAGAATCTCTTTAGCCTCAATTCCCATATATATTAGATCCTATAAAGCTTCTTGAGAAGTTTCTATGAAGCTTGGAAACAAAGCAAGCCTAAGATCCTTCTTTGGCAACTTCCTAAATCATCCAAAGTTTCCTAGAACCTTCTATATTCTTCTATGATCTCCTAGAACTTTCTTAGAATTTTTTGGAATCTTTTAGAATCTTTTTAGAATCCACTAGAACCTTCTAGAATCTTAGAGAATCTCTTAGAATCTTTTGGAGCCTTCTTAGATCCTACTAGAACCTTTTAAAACCTTCTTCAATTGTATGTCTGTGATACTTGTAAGGATTATACTAGCTGCTTGTCTTCCTATTTTCTACTAGTAAAACTATTTTTTTGTATTTTTGATTTCACCATGGTATTCAAAAATATCCAATTAGCCCAAAAACCTTGTATAGACTTCAAAACTTGCTTCATTTCTTCATAATGGCTCTCAGAGTGGTAAAACTCAATTTTACCAAGGTCTAGAATTTTTTTCTAAAAATTCATAAAAAATCCTAAATAAATTCTAAATAAATTATAAAAAATCCTATAATATTTTTATAATACTAATATCTATATAAGGCTATATATTTCTATATTGGTAATATTTTATAATCATAAAATTAATTTAAATCTACTAAAATTCCTATTTTTTACATACATAACTTAAAAGTCATGAAGTTCTTTTTCATGCTTCTTTTTACTATAAACTAATCATTGATAGGATTTTATAAGTAATACATGTAGATAGAGAGCCAATAAAGACATTGGTTTCAATAATTAATTCTTAATACTTAATAATAATAAAAAATACTAAATTAACTAAGATAATTGCCTCCAACACTTATTAAGTCTCCATTTTTATAAATTTCCTTCTAATAAGACGTTTACAACTTATAAATACTTCTAAATTATAATAAATACTTGAAAAGTCAAAAAGACTCTCTAATCTTAATATTTTTATAATTAAATGACTTAAAACTATATTTTTAGTTAATCCACCAATTATGATCAATTTATGGGACTCACAATAAGCATAGGCCAAGCTCCCTTTGATGCTTTTTTTCTTGCTCAGAAAGAGATTTGAAGTAAACTGCATCAATGTGCATATCTTCTGCTTTCAAATACTCATTAAAATTAGATAGTGAAGAAGTTGCAGAATAATTGAAGTATATATGTGTCGTAATTGAAGAACGTTTATCTTATTGTTGTTGAAATAAACAATTATTGCACTTCACAACTTGACTAATAGCCTCAATGAATGTTTGAGGATCTGTCATAGACAACAATAAGTCCTTGATATTGTTTCTTAATTCCCAATGAAATTGCCTCATCAACACATCTTCTCTCCAATTTATATCACATACTAATTATCAAAAATCTAAGACATACGTTGATACAAAATGCATTCCTTATTGAAGGCTTCAAATTTTTATTGTTGAAGATTGAACCTTATCATGTTTACCAAATGCTTCCACAAATGTTGCTTAAAATGCTTCAAAATTGTACAATATATGGAATTTTTTTCAAATAATGGAACAAATTAAGATAAAGCTTGATTTGAGAATAAGGTTCCAATCAAACCAACATAAAATGCTTCAATGGAATATTGTTGAGGTTGAAGGAAGGTGATTAGTCGTACTTAGTTTATAAAGCTATAAAATTTTGAATGAAAGCCATTGAACTTTTTTGGAAGGCTAATCTTTGATTCTTTTGTAATTATTGTTGTTAAATCATTGCCTTGATTAGATGCACTTCCCATATTTGTTGAAGCAAATATAGTCGTTTGAAAATTTGGAACCTCTATTACCTTTTGATGTAGTAGTTGAAGCACTCTGGCTCCTTGACCATTATGTATGGTCATATATAGTTCTTTATTCTCTTTCGACAAAGTCTATGTCCTGACCCTCAATACTTCAAGAGCATTAATAATAGAATCTAATTTGATCTCTTTAAAATCTATCAAATTAACTTTTTCAACTTCTGCCATAAAAAAATCAAAGAAATGCATACATTCAAAGAAAAAAAAAAAAAAAAAAAAAAAAAACCTTGATCTATGGTATAAAGAAAAAAATCAAAAGAATTTTAAAAACAAAACAATATTAATTTACGAGAGGATAATCCGCAACCTCTAGAATGCTATATTACTTCCAAGAAGAGGAAGAATATATTCTTTGTGAAGAAAGACTAAGATTCTAATATTGTTTAATGGTAGTCTCGACAAACTATTAAAGACCGTATATAAGACAAGGATTTAAGACCAAAAAATGGAATTATCTCAATATTAGAACAATAATTGGATACAAGGCAAGAAGATCCTAATTAGACCACAAGAAAAAAATATATACTAGATATATATTAGATCCTAGGAAGCTTCTTAAGAAGTATTCATGAAGCTTGGAAACAAAGCAAGCTTAAGATCCTTCTTTGACAACTTCCTAAATCATCTAAAGTCTCTTAGTACCTTTTAGGATCTTCTATGATCTTCTAGAACTTTCTTAGAATCTATTAGAACCTTCTAGAACCTTCTAAGATCTACAAGAATTTTCTTAAAACCTTCTAGTACCTCCTAGAATCTTCTCGAATCTTCTTCAATTGTATGTCCATGACAGCAATAGGGGATTTGGATATCCCCTTCTATCTTTGTGGAAACCATTGGAATTCAATTTGACAAAGACAATGCCATTAGTTGTTGCCATTGACACACTCCTACATAACATTCAATGCTCCTTGCCACTTCTATCCTTTCTTTAGTTTTTTTTTTTTGTTCATAAAATCACTCTCCTATTGTACATTATAAGCATTAAGCATAATTAAATTGGATAATCATCCTTTGGGATTGTCTTATTGACTTTTGAATTGTGATTGAAGCTATTTTAGAGTTTTCATTTGCACTTACTTCCAAAGGTAGCCTAATTAAAGTATCATTAAGTAAGTTACAAAGATGGCAATCTTATTATTGAACATGAATTACATATAGTTAATAGTTAAATTCTATGCCATTAAGACATGCAAAATTGAAGAATAGGGCGAGTAGTTAATTGCTCGGAGCTCCCAAGTTCAACTCTTAGTTTGGACGACAAAGCTTGATTGCGTATGGAGAAATTATGAACAAAATTAGGGAGATTTGAATGTAAAACAAGGAGGTTGTGAACGAGATTGAGGAGATTTGGACTAGGAATAGAGCGCTAGGAATGGTGGAATTGGGAACTGGCAACAAAAGTGTAATGATGAATTTAATAGTTTGGATTGATTTAATAAAAGATTGGATCGCTTTAAGATATATATATATATATATATATATATATATAACTATTTATTGTTGTGAAATTAAACCAAAAAAAAATATGCATATATATTTTCTTTATCGGATACTATTAAAAAAATCATTATTTTTAGGTTTTAAACTATTCTATGGACGTTGGGGGGATTAAACGAGCATGGGCAGTGAAGAAGAGACGAACGAGGGAATGCTCCGGAACGAAGACAAGTAAGCTGGAAAGGATCGTTACGGAGTCTCGTCCATCTGTCGTTCGTTCGTTCGCTCGTTGGTTGGTTGGTTGGTTAAGAGGATTCTGCGCACGGGGAGGGGAGAGGACCGAGAACCTTCCAAGCCCTGCCTGCCCGCCTGCCTGCCTTTCCAAGAATCGGTCGTGGCCAAGCCTGGCCTGCCAAACTGGCCTTCTAGGGCTTCGCCATTGCTTCTCTCATTTCCCATCTCTCAGCTTCTCCTCCTCATTCGAGCCTGTACTCCGTGGGTTGTGCTGCTGCGTGGTCTGCTCTTCAGATCGAGGACCACTGGAGATAGCTCAGGTGCTGTGGCTCGAGTTTTGGCTCAAATTTGGTCGAGTTTTTGCTGTAGTAGATTTTTGGGAGATATTTTGAAGGGAGTTTTGTCTTTCTTTGTGTGTAAGAGTGCGAGAGAGAGAGGGGGCGATAACCAGCAGGAAGGGAGGGAGTAAGTTAAGCAGACACCATGAGTGTAGTAGGATTAGATGTGGGAAATGAGAACTGCATCGTAGGGGTAGCGAGGCAGAGGGGCATCGATGTGGTGCTTAATGATGAGTCGAAGCGGGAGACGCCCGGAATGGTCTCGTTTGCGGAGAAGCAGCGTTTTTTAGGAGTTGCGGGGGCGGCTTCGGCGATGATGAACCCTAGGAACACGATTTCGCAGATCAAGCGGATGATAGGTCGTCCGTTTTCGGATCCGGAAATGCAGGAAGACTTGCGCTTGTTCCCCTTCTCGGTTACGGAGGGACCCGACGGCTTCCCGTTGATCAATGTTCAATATTTGGGCGAGCCCCGTCAGTTTACGCCCACGCAGGTTCTTGGCATGCTGTTGTCCAATTTGAAATCTATTGCCGAGAAAAACTTGGGGACGTCGGTGGTGGATTGTGTGATTGGTGTGCCGGTTTACTTCACGGAGCTGCAGAGGCGGGCTTATTTGGATGCTGCCCAGGTGGCGGGTCTTCATCCCTTGAGGTTGATGCACGAAACTACTGCGACGGCTTTGGCATATGGTATCTACAAGACGGATTTGTCGGATACGGATCCGATCAATGTGGCCTTCGTCGATATTGGTCATGCTAGTATGCAGGTATGTATTGCTGCTTTTAAGAAGGGACAGCTGAAGATTTTAGGTCATTCTTTTGAGAGGAGCCTCGGTGGCCGCGACTTCGACGAGGTATTATTTAATCACTTTGCTACCAAGTTCAAGGAAGAATACAGGATAGATGTGCCCTCGAGCGCCCGTGCCAGTCTCAGGCTTCGCTCTGGATGCGAGAAGGCAAAGAAAATTTTAAGTGCCAATCCTATTGCCCCTTTGAACATTGAGTGTTTAATGGACGAGAAGGATGTGAAGGGTGTCATCAAGCGTGATGAATTTGAGGAGTTGGCTAAACCTATTTTGGAGAAGGTGAGAGGCCCCTGTGAGAGAGCTCTCGCTTCGTCGAAACTAAGCATAGACAAGATTTACGCCGTAGAAGTGGTGGGATCCGGGTCTCGTGTGCCTGCAATTTTGAAAATTCTGAGCTCCGTGTTCGGGAAAGAGCCAAGCCGTACCATGAATGCGAGCGAGTGTATTGCTCGAGGCTGCACCCTGCAGTGCGCAATGCTGAGCCCCACGTTCCGTGTTCGCGATTTTGAGGTTCAGGATTCATTCCCCTTTGCTATTGGGCTTTCGTGGAAAGGAGCGGCCCCTGAGACGGATGGTGAAGAGGAGGTTTCATCTAATAACATCGTGTTTGTGAAAGGCAACCCTGTCCCCAGCACCAAGTTGTTAACCTTTTACAGGTCGAGTACGTTCTCAATTGATGCATTTTATGCTGAAACTAGCGAATTGCCACCTAACATGAGCCTGAGGATCGCTACGTTTACTATTGGTCCATTCACCCCAACTGTAGCAGAAAAGGCTAAGATCAAAGTTAAGATTAGGCTCAATTTGCACGGAGTTGTGTCATTGGAAGCTGCTACTATGATTGAAGAAGAGGAGGTTGAAGTGCCAGTCACGAAGAAGGATATATCTAAGGATGATTCTGGTGAGAAGGCATCGGCTCCGACTGATGACAAGCCTGAAGATGCGGCAGGTGTAGATAGTTCTTCAACAGAGGGACCCGTTAAAATGGAAACTGAAGCACCAAAAGCTGAAGTGAAGAAGAAGACAAAGAGGACAGATGTACCTGTGCACGAGGTGATTTATGGTGGTCTTCCACAGCCTGAATTAACGAAGGCTGTGGAGAAAGAGTATGAGATGGCATTACAGGATCGCGTTATGGAGGAGACCAAGGAGAGCAAGAATGCTGTCGAGGCATATGTGTACAGCATGAGAAACAAGTTGTACGAGAAACTACAATCCTACGTTACAGAATTCGAACGTGAAGAAATGTCAGCTAGGCTGCAAGAAACTGAAGATTGGTTGTATGAAGATGGAGAGGATGAAATTAAGAGCGTTTATACTGCGAAGCTTGCAGAACTTAAAAAGCTTGGTGACCCACTCGAAACTAGGCAAAGAGAGGAAGAGCTGAGGGGTCCCGCTTATAGGGATCTGATTTATTGCATCGCCAGTTTCCGTGATGCTGCTCAAAGCAAGGACCCCAAGTTTGACCACATTGATGCTGCTGACAAAGAGAAGGTGATCAGCGAGTGCAACAAGGCAGAAGAGTGGTTCAAAGACAAGAAGCAGCAACAAGATGCCCTTCCCAAGTGTGCGAACCCCGTCCTACTCACATCTGAAGTGAAGAAGAAGACCGAGGTTCTTGATAGATTTTGCAAGCCAGTCATGACTAAGCCAAGGCCTGCGCCACCCAAGCCTGCACCTACTGCAGAGCCTAAATCCGCTCCAGCTGAACAAGCCCCAACTGGTGGAGATGCCTCCGCCCCTGAGCCAATGGATACCGATGCCCCAGCCTCAGCCCCCGAGCCGGAAACTATGCAGACCGAGTAGTATATAGCATAGAAATAGGATATTTCATGATTAGTACTACGTATTATGAGTAAGTACAGACATTCTCACAGCCTAAACCTAGGCAAGGGACATTAAGTGCAACGACTATCTAATTTTTTGAGGCGTAAAGCTTTACAGTCAGGACGGTTTTTGCTCATTCTGCTCCCTATACCTCAGATTGACGCGTCCAGCTGCCTGCAGGCATTCTAATCTTGACAAAGCTGTGTGATTCTGTTCTTTCTATCATTTTTGTGTCATACTGTACCCTCATAAGTTTCTGAAAGGATTCATTCCGCTTATTGGATTATAGGATTCTTTTCCATGTTAATTTCTGCTGCCCCTGGTTTGGCAGGTTGGTGGTATTTGCACGAGCAGCAGTTGCGGTGGCGAAGAGTTTCGTGCCAAGCTGTAATGGGTTGTCCTATGCCAACCACCTTTGTACTTCACCTTGTGGTGATCTGTCGTGACTACATTTTTTTTTAATATATCTCCTAGTTTATGTAATTGGCAGCGGAAGTGCCGAAATCAAAATCTGCATGAGGGTTCTGTGAACTGGGGAAAGGGTGGTAACGAATCTTCTGTTACAGACGCTTTTGGATACTGAATTCTTCAACGCTGGGGTACGTTGGAGCGAGTGCAGGAACTGTTGCCTAATCACAGCTGCACTGTAGTTTTGTGACCTCGTCAACGTTATCTGGGGAGACGGTAAAGCTTTTCCCATCTGGAACCTCCTCAGTTTGTGCACCTTGCGCATTTTTCGCACTCGAAGTGATGCCCAGCTTGGTGCAGTTGGGTGGATTTTCTTCGATTAGGATTCATAAACAATCATGTTCGATTGCCAGACAAAGTTCACTAACTGCTAAAAATTTGCATTGAAGCGCTGCCTTTTGGGCTCTTCGATCTAACACTTCGCCTCAACAGGAAATAGTGAGCCGGGGCAAATTTGTTGAGCCATTGTGGAAGTAGAATAAAGGATGCTTTCCTTGTAGGTTTCAAATGTTATCAAAGATAGAAACCAGGTTGCTTGGTTTTTTTGTGATACATATGTCACAACATTTCTGTGCTTAAAATCAATATTATTCAAAATGTTCAATCAAAGGTATAAGTTGTAAAAATTGGTTAGTTTGTTTTGAGTTCCTTGTACCTTTCCAAAGAATATTTGTAACTATTAGCTTTACATTACAACAAAATAAACTATTGGGTGATTGATTATTTAATGTGCATTAGAATATCATGTAAAAATAGAAAAGCAATGAAATGTTTCATTGCGATAGAAACCAAACTATATGAATATATATGCATGTAATTACTTCTAAATTATTAAAAAAATACTATTATTAACTTTTGAGCCCAGAGATATGAAATCTTAAAATGAAAAAAAATATTCTTCATTCAAACTTTTTTAAGTCCTAAAAATACAAAAGATATATATATATATATATATATATATATATGAATGTTTTTATAACTTATAATTTTTTTTTTCTTATTATTAAAGTAATTGATAGATAGCTAATTCGGCCTATTTACATCATTAAAATTACACAACTTTTAGAAATGGTCTAAAACTTATTATTTAAATCATACAATGTAGGTAATTGATCTTGCAATGTCTAATAAACTGTCTAATTCCAAATAATAACATTTAGATAATAAGTCAAATTCTCATCTAAAACAATAATTGAGTTCTTTTATAGATTAAGCTACTTATAAGCAAAAGATACATAAGATTAAAAACATGTTAATAGAGTTAACAAGACCTATGATATTAAATAGACTTTAGTTGAATTATATAATTTGGTGCATTAGATCTTTGTATTTTATTAGATTAAAGAAATTGTATAGTATATTGATTAAGCAGTAATTATTTTAAGAATAACAGAAGAATTGCATATTTTCTAAAATATATAAAATAACATAATATATATATATATATATATATATATATATACCTATATATACCTATATATATCTATATATATATATAGTTATATATACCTATATATATATATATATAGTTATATATACCTATATATATATAAATTTTAAACCTTCTTAAATGTTTTAAAAAGATCATAGATTTTGTAAATGCAAATAATTTAAAGAAGGATGTAGAAAAAGTATAATATTTTTATAAAAAAATTAAATAAAAAAATTAACTTGATTATTTTTTAAAAATATATTTTTAGTTGCAATTATATATTTTATATCAAAAGGCATAAAATTGATTAAGAATTGTGTTATATGAAGCAAGATATGTGGCAAAAATAACATTTATTTATAATATTTTATAATATTTTAAATAAAAATTAACCATAATTTGAATTTATTAATTTTTATATCGAAAAATATATATTTTTTATTAAAAAAATATATATATAAAAATCAAATAAATTTTCTATTTATTTTTTAAAATAATGATTATTTATTTAATCTTCTAGTATTTTTTAAATTGATTTGTATAAAAATATTAAGACCATTGATTATTTTTAGAATTATTTAAGATATTTAAAAATTAAAACTATTAATAAATTATTATGTAATATATATATATGTATAAATCTATATATATATATATATGTATAAATCTATATATATATATATATATATATATATATACATATAAAGAAATATTAAATCAATTCCATTAGTTGTTAATTTGACCCATCCATCATGACAAATATTGTATTTCTTAACTCTCAATGCAATCCCTACATTTGCGGTTCTTGTTCTGAATATGAATCTCCCCTCCTAATACATACCTTCCTTCTATCTCTTCCTTCGTGTGTCTCTTGTTTTCATTACTAGCCCTTGTCATCCACCTTGATACCTTCCTCTCTTCTTCTCAGGGATATATACATTTATTTCAATAGTTACTTATATGATAACGTAGAATTAAGTAAATATAGATTAATTTCATAAAGTCTTCTAGAGAAGCTTCCAAAAAGCTTCATAGATGCGGTTTTGACTTTAGATGTATTTGTAGGATAGGAACTTGGCTAATAAGTTAACTACGTGTTGGTAGCTTGTAGAATAAATTAACTCTGAGTAGTAGCTTGTGGAACAAGCTAATTATGTGGTGCATACATAGATAACTTGCCTTGTAAGTCAACACATTTTGGAGGTCTTATAGGACATCGCCACGTAGTTCCTAGTTAAAGTATATATGGAAGCAAGAATAAAGCCTTCTTCACTCTTGTCAACGCTTTTTTAGTCTTTATTCTTATTCCAAGACTTTCTAATCTTCTTGTTTTTGGCAATAGCCATTCTAGTTCAATATTATATCAAATTTGAGTGACTTTTTAGTTCCTTTTAGAGATGCAAGAGTGTATTGAGGATTTTTTTTCTTCGAGATTCATGTCCTTGACACCTCTTCAATTCTCCATATAAGAAATATTAATAACAGCAATATACTCAAATTAATGCTGCAAAAAAATTGAACTAGGTCTAAAAATATTTGCCTAATCCACTTATAAAATAATGCTATAATGTAAATTACTCATGTAATAGGAACTATGTAAATAATCCAAAGTCATCATGTCTATACTTGAAAGGCTTTTTGGAGTATTGGAGACTACATTCATGAATTCAACATATTAGTTCTTTATTGAGTCTTTAGTTAGAAGTTCTAAACACTTATCACTACTAATCTAAAAGGCCTTGATTATTTATCAAGGATATGAATCTGAAAGAAAGAAATCCTCAATACACTCTTGTGTCATTGAAGAAAATTAAAAAGTCACTCAAAGATGACATTATATTGAATTAGAATGATTATTGCCAAAAACAAGAAGATTAGAAAGTCTTGAAACAAGACTAAGGACTAAAAAGGCATTAATAAGAGTGAAAAAGGCTTCACTCTTGCCTCCATATATACTCTTAACTAGGAGCTACATAGTAATATCTTATAGGACCTCTAAAACATATTGACTTTGTAAGACATGTATCTTAATTTGCAAGGCAAGTTTTTTATATGTGCGCCACATAGTTACTTTGTTCTGCAAGCTATGAACACATGGTTAACTTGTTGACTAAGTTTCTAACCTACTAATCAACTACAAATACATGTAAAGTCAAAGCAACATCAATCAAGCTTCTAAGAAGCTTTACTAAAATATCTTATGAAATTAACCTACTTTTATCTACTTTTACTTACTTCTACATAATTATATAGGTATTTATTAAAGTATGCATATATATCCATGACATTACTTTTTTTTTAAGGACGAGTTCTATAAAGAGCGGTTACAATGGGTTGATGAAATCCAAGTTGCAACAAATTATATTTGCTACATACTTTGATCTTTGTTTTCTTTGAAGATAGTTGATACGTCTTCTCAACCATCAATAGTATCTCATATCATGGCAAGAATACCATCCTATTATTTGATCATTTTTGAAGCCTTTGTAACTTCTTTCAAATAAAACATTTCGAACACTGTCACGAATTGTTTCTATCTCTAATAAAATCACCAAATACCGAAAGTCTTTTCTAATGTCATGATATCAAATATATTATATCTGACTATATATTCAAGGAAGGACATGTCATTCATAAAGATCTTCATCTTGATTACGTTTTCATATTATAAAAGATTATAATATATAAAAATTAATTAAAATATATTATATGTTAATAAATCTAAATGTATGTTAGAATGGTTAATAGATTAATTTAAAGAGAGTGGATTTAAGAAACTTTATTTTGAGTTTTATCTTTTTTGATTATAGCAACTTAAAAAAATATAGGGTCTAAATGTTTAGTATGAAGCCTTGAGAGGAGATTAGAGCCTAAAGAAGAAAATCTTAAATTGTAAGAGGCTTATTGAGAGGGATGATAGTAAGGAATTGTTGGATGAAGGCAAGGAATGGGGATCTTTATTCCTATTGGCCGAAGGCCATGCCCAATGGGCTTTAAGGAGGCTGTCCGAGGCCTTATTAGGAATTAGGGTTTCTTTTTCGAAGTAATTCGAGCTTTAGAGGCTAGGTTCAGCAAGTTTAGGGTTTTGGGTACAAATTGGATACAAATTTTGTATGATTTGGAGTTTTAATGAAGGAGTTATTGGCACTCAAAGTTAAGGTGTCAATTTCATACCTACTGTCACTCTTTGGGACATAACATACGTTTACAAAGAGCAATAAAAGATCTAAGACTGGAATTGGAAAAAGAACTTCTTTTAATACATTTTTCATATACTATTTGATGAATTTGGAGTTTAAATGAAGAAGTTATAGAGGGTTGAAGTCAATGCATGCAAATAAAAGGCAATAAGTAAGTGATTTTGTTCATAGTAATGGTTGGAGCCATATCTTGGGTTTTTAGACGAAGTTTTGGTTAAAACCTTTTCGAGAAGGTAGATAATTGTATTAAAAAACTGAAAATATAAATTTTGTGGCATTTGAATATTTAGTTTGTGAGATATGAAAGAAATTTCATATGAGTGTATAAAAACTAGGGTTTGAAGCTATTGTTAGGGTTTTCAAGATATTTCAAGATCCGCAAT